TCAACCTTTTTAATGCCGTGACCCCAACTGGTCGTAAGTCGAGGACTAAACCGGTCGTAAGTCGAGGACTAAACCGGTCGTAGGTCGAGGACTTTCCCTGCCCGGGAGTACCGTGCATGCGTGGTTCCGCCCCCTGCGCTGGCCGAGGCGTAGCTGGCAAGCGGCAGAGACGGAGCAGGCCGACCACCAGCTGGCCCAGTGCAAGGGACCCTCCGGAAAAGGGGGGAAAATGGCGGACAAAAAAAATGGCGGACAGCCTTGCTTGGCGACCCCGTGAAATGGTCGATCGACCCCAAATGGGGTCCCGACCCACAGGTTGAGAACCACTGATTTAGAGCACTTGCCTAGCATAAAGCTCGCTGGAAACTGTATAATTAATGAAACAGTCTATAGGAAATGAAGCCTAAATGTCTAAGGATGTTCTCAGTCATCCAGGCCCTGGTTGAGAACCTCCTTAGTTAGACATTGAGCCATGCACTTTGGGATGAACCCCCTTCGAAGGATGTGGGAGCATGAACGGATTTCCCGAAAACATTGCAGACTCCAGGAACCGTTTGCGCTTCAGTCTGAGATGCAGACAACACAGACTCGTCCCCAACAGCCTGCGCCTGTCTCCCAACAGGGAAGGGACACATCCTGCAGCCAAGAAGGCTCCAGACCCATTTGCACCACTCAGGTGACCCTAAGGACACAGGTAAACCTCCATGGGGCCTCAAGGACTCTCTAAAAAGGATGCAAACGACCAACGGTCTGCAAGGAGTATAAATCTTTCCATTCCCCACCATCCAGTCAGAGCTGAAGAAGCTTCTTGGAGGAGAAGCAAACAAATCATCAAAGAAAAGCAAGAAAGTCCAGTTGCCTCCTGAAAAAATGCACTTTTGGACAAATGAAACCCAAGCACTTTTGTAAAAAAGGAAATGTGCGGTCAAGCTAGTTCCTTTGCTGGCTTAAGAGTCGCCAACCAAAACAGAGGTTTCATAGGTTACTATCTGAATTTTAGTCCAAATGAAAATCAAGGAACAAAACCTAAAGTTAGCATTCTAAGCATAAGATTTTGAGTGAGAACATTCCTATGTTCAAACCAAATAACCAAACCAAATAACCGAAGAGGCAAATCTTCACTTACCCGTACTGCTGAGAGAACTACTGCTTTCAGAGTCCGAAGGCATTATAGAAAGAACGCTATAGGTTGATCCTGGGGAAACGGGAAAAAAAAAAGGAGATATAAGGGCTATTAACTCTAGCGTGCAGTACTTCTTTCTTATCCGATTCCTATACCGTCTCCGTGTTTTCCTGAGCCATTTGCCCTGTAATTTTGTAGTTAGGTTCCCAATGAAAGCAACCGGCTTCTCCAAGCAGGGAAGCTGATCAAGAGCAAGAATAAGTTTCAAATAGGAATTTGAACGATTGCCATGAAGTTGATTGATACAGGACCTAGCTATTCTGTTCTGTTCTGTTCTGTTCTATTCTATTCTATAGTCCAATATTTATTCTATTCTATTCTATTCTATTCTATTCTATTCTATTCTATTCTATTCTATTCTATAGTCCAATATTTATTCTATTCTATTCTATTCTATTCTATTCTATTCTATTCTATTCTATTCTATTCTATAGTCCAATATTTATTATATTCTATTCTATTCTATTTTATTCTATTCTATAGTTCAATATTTATTCTATTCTATTCTATTCTATTCTATTCTATTCCTATTCTATTCTATTTCTATTCTATTCTATTCTATTCTATAGTCCAATATTTATTCTATTCTATTCTATTCTATTCTATTCTATTCTATTCTATAGTCCAATATTTATTCTATTCTATTCTTTCTATTCTATTCTATAGTCCAATATTTATTCTATTCTATTCTATTCTATTCTATTCTATTCTATTCTATTCTATTCTATTCTATTCTATTCTATTCTATTCTATTCTCCAATATTTATTCTATTCTATTCTATTCTATTCTATTCTATTCTATTCTATTCTATTCTATTCTATTCTATTCTATCCCATCCCATCCCATCCTATCCTATTTAGTTATTTATGAGGTTTATGTAGTTTAGCTGATTTTCATTTGGAGGAAAACTGAACCAAAACACAGATTTGTTTGCAATCCTCTTCTTCATAGCAATCTCTGGCCAATTTTCATATATTTTCACATCTCCAGTCCACTGACTGGTTAACAGTCTCGCTCTGCTCCGTGGGTTTCCTCTCTGAAAGCTTCCCACTGATGTCTTCACAAAATACCAAAAGTATTAAGAAAAGAGGTCTCTTTTCCCCTTAATTTTATGTCTAGTCACAGTCACAGAGCAGCTTAGAAAACAAGCAGCTGGTGGCAGACAAAGGCAGAAAAATAACATACGGAGCATTAACAGGTGGCAGAGAAAGACTCAGAAATTTAGGGAAGACATTAACATATTCAACTGAAAGTAACTAAGTGAAAGACTGTTGTTCTGTCATGAACCTCAAATGGTCGCCTAATTTTAAAAAAGCCAAAAAACGCTGGTTGCAGTGATTATTTGAATAAAAATGGATCCAGGATATCTTTATTCAAACGCCTATGAATAGAACAGAACAGAAGTGGGGTAGAGTGGAGTAGAATAGAAAATAGAAAATAATAGAAAATAGAAAATAGAATATAGAATAGAATAGAATAGAAGTAGAATAGAGTAGAGTAGAGTAGAGTAGAGTAGAGTAGAGTAGAGTAGAGTAGAGTAGAGTAGAGTAGAAGAGAAGAGAAGAGAAGAGAAGAGAAGAAGGAACAGAATACAGAATAGAATAGAATAGAATAGAATAGAATAGAATAGAATAGAATAGAATAGAATAGAATAGAATAGAACACAGCTGGAAGGGATCTTGGAGGTCATCTAGTTCAGCCCCCCCCCCCACTCAAGCAGGAGAACCTATACCATCTCAGACAAGTGACTGTCTAGCCTTAAAAACCTCCATTGATGGAGCATCCCACGATTTCAGGTGGCAAGCTGTTCCACTGGTTAATTGTCCTCACTGTCGGGAACTCTCTCCTTAATTCCAGGTTGCTTCTTGCTCAAATTATGCTCAGCAACCTTAAAAAAAGGGGGATACTCCGTTCACACAGAGGTTGTCCTTGGCACGCAGCCATTCATTTAGCGACTGTCTGAAGTCGCAACGACGTGGGAAAATGTGACTTATCATCCGTTTTTCATGCTTACAACCATTGCAGCATCCCCGTGGTCACGTGATCAAAATTCAGGCCCTTGGCAACCGACTCGTAGTTATGACGGTTGCACTATGTCCCGGGGGGGTCACGTGTGATCCCCTTTTGTGTCCTTCCGACATGCAAAGTCAACGGGGAAGAATCCGGATTCACTTAACCACCGGGTTACTAACAATTGCCGTGATTCCCTTAGCATCTGTGGCGAGATATGTTCGTAAAATGAGGCAAAACTCACTCAACAAATGTCTCGCTTAGCAACAGAACATTTTGGACTCAATTGGGGCCGTAAGTCAAGGCCAGTCTGTACTTCCTTTTCTAATCCCCTTCGGAGGTTGCTTATTAACTTCTTTTCAATTACAGCAGGTCTGCCTTCCCTCCTAAATGAAAAAAAATTATGTACCATCTTAAAAAACTTTTTTTTAAAATGAAATAAACAGGGGAAAAAAAGCCAATTAAGATTTCCCTTTTAGAAAGCTACCGACAGATTAACGCTCCAGATGAATTTTTAAATGAGATTTTGGAATTAATTAGAAAGAGTCCTTCCCGTGGGAAAGTCAGTTTGTTTCTATTTTTTTTTTTCTAACGCATAAAAGCATAAATGGTTTTAAGAAGTGGACACTAGAGGGAACCCAAGGTTTTCATGAAAGGAGAAGAATGCATAAATAGGATAAAAAAGCTACAGAATGGTACAAAATGTGATAAAGTTGGAAATACCGAAGGATATTTTTGAAAAAATGGAATCGGATACTAATATCAACATTGCCACCCGTGATATTTGCTTCTTTGGATAGACTGTGCCCCCCAAAAAAAGGTTTTGGCAGAAATGGAACCAGTTTTAACTGACGGTCAAAGTGGGTCTACAAATGACAAGTTAGAAAGACTGACACGGGTAAAAATGTTTCATTGGATGTGCAAAAGAAACTGACGGATGCTTTAAAAATCGAAAGGGAATTTACAAGTAAACCAAGAGAATGATCTGGATAATTCTTTATTACTGACTTTACAAAAAAGTTTGTTAAAGCTCGGACGAATCTTATGAGAAGAGATCAAAGAAGAAATGAGAAGAAATCAAATTATGCGGCATTTACTGGAACGGATTGAAGATTAAGATTGTTTGAAGTAAAAGAAAGGAATATAACGTTGATTTAGTTGATCAAGGTGAAGATAGAGAAGTTGTTCTTTGTGGCAATGCTTAAAATGGCTTTTGCCAACACTGGGATTGAAATGTTTATGCATTATGGTTTATAGAGATGGGGGATGAGATGAAGAGAGCATTAGCCATAAATTAAGAGAAGGTTGCTTAAATTGTTTATACTTCTTGTGATGAAAGTTGGAAGTCTTTCATTTCCTTTCCTTCCCTTCTCTCTTCTTCTTTTCCTTTCCTTTCCTTTCCTTCTCTCTTCCTCCTTTCCTTCCCTTCCCTTCTCTCTTCCTCCTTTCCTTTCCTTCCCTTCCTTTCCTTTCATTTCCTTTTCTCTTCCTCCTTTCCTTCCCTTCCCTTCCCTTCCCTAATAATAATAATAATAATAATAATAATAATAATAATAATAATAATAATAATAATAATAATAATAATAATAATAATGATGATGTTGGAAGGGACCTTGGAGGTCATCTAGTCCAACCCCCTGCTCAGGCAGGAAACCCTATATACCATTTCCCTTCTCTCTTCCTCCTTCCCTTCCCTTCCCTTCTCTCTTCCTCCTTTCGTTCCCTTTCCTCTTCCTCCTTTCCTTTCCTTTCCTTTCCTCCTCCCCTTCCCCTTTCTCCTTCCATTTCTTTTTCCTTTCCTTTCCTTTCCTGTGTATAACAGCCTTGTTATTTAAAAAGAACTACCCTTTTTCTCTCTAGATACATTTTAATCCTGACAGTTTGGTTAAATTAGGCCAGCTTCACATATTTCTAACTTTACTTGCGTCCGCATTAATAGCCTCACAAAATTAGATTTAACTGTGACCAATTCCTCGCAAAGCCTCAAATATTATTGAAGTAAATCTACAGAAAATTCCAGTTACCGCGGAAGCTGACACGGGGTGCAATGTTTTGACCTCCGAAAAGTATCTTAACCTTTTTCAACCCGAGTTTTGCCATCCTGAGGAAAACCAGTAGAGCCTCTGAATTTCCAAGGGGAAGTGCACAAGGAAACTCAAGGATGAACGGAAGTGCTACTTCCCGGCGTTCATCTTCGACAGAAATAACTACGAAAAATAACTATTTACAAATTACGGATGAGCAAGCCCGTCAATCTGCATTTTTGTAAATTTCCTTGGTTTACATACATCACCAAGCAGCTAAAAAGAGAGGCCATCTTTGGATGACAAATCGGAAGGATCTAAAATTGGTCACCACGACATCAGGGAGCCCTACAATTACTCAGCTGAGTAAAGGTCTACGGAGATTCTCAGTCCTCCAGATCCTGGTTGTCCCAAAGGTGCTTTTTCAAAAAAAGGCAACTGGACTTTCTTGTTTTTTCCATGTCTTGTTTTTTCCATGAAGACGTTTCGCTTCTCATCCAAGAAGCTTCTTCAGTTTCCCGAAGAACTGAAGACGCTCCTTGGATGAAAAGCGAAATGCTTTCAAAGGGAAAAAATAAAAAAATAAAACCGCAGGAAAGTCCAGCTGCCTTTTGAAACAGCACCTTTGGGAGGTTCCACCGAGTAGATTATTTGTTGAGCCGTGTCACCTTTTTTGCTCACAATGCTCCACGATCTTTCACGGGAATAATTGCTACCCAACCGTTTCGAACGCAGGCTTGGCATGAGAAAGATCGTTATCAAAAATCTGGGGAGGAATCTCTCTGCAGAACACTTTGTCCCTGACTTGAAAGTGGCAATCCTTGAGAGAAAAAAGAAAGAAAACAATAACAGAGATTAAGTTTCCCTGCAAAACAGCTGATCGGTTGTTCACAAGAACCTCAAAACAACATTTTCCCATGTATGAATTAAGAACCTACATCCTGTCTTAAGATTCTAAGGCAATCG